TATGGATGTTAATTGCATTGTATACTTTTTTTTATCTTTTTACTTTACTAAATTAAATATACTATGTATATGTCATTGAAACTAAAGTGTGTCTTTTGCAGATAGCAAATAGTTGAATCTTATTATTTTGTAACAAATCTGGTAATCTCTGCTTTTGTTTTGATTAATTAAGAGTCATTTTTTTCTATTCATAGGGTTAGTTTTATATCTGTCATTTTGACGTGTATTTTATCTCATGTCATTTTCTTCATTTGTCCTCTATTACCTTCTTTTATATTAATTGGATATATTTTAGTGTAACATTTTAATTCTCTTCATTTCTTAGTTGTCGCTCTAGGATTTCCAACACATAGTTTATCAGAATCCAAAATCAGATTTATACTGACTTCTTAGTAAATATGAAAATTGTATTCATATAGAGAAAATTGTATTCCTGTATATACTTCACACACTTTTTATGTTAATATTTTTATACACATTATACTATGTAGTTTTAAAAATCTGACAATGTGTTTTAATAACCATTTCTTTATGTACATATAGCATCATTAATAAGCATTATATATACGTATTATATACATATATATGTTTTCTTTTTAAAAGCATTGAGAAGCAAAGGGAATAATTCTAAATGTATAGGTGTTATCATATCAAATTTCTTATTTAACCTTGTGGTTCCCTTCATATATTTCTGCGTATTCAAGTTATCATCTGGTGTCAGTTTCCAATTTCAATACGGTTTAATTCCTAGCCACGTCATGTAGCTATTGTCAAGTAAAATATATCACATTTCTGTATGTCATTCTCCAAACATTACAACGATGTACATATTGTTTTATCAAATGGCTTTTAAAATAATTAATAAAGGAGAATAAGTATGCAATAATACTGTCTCATAATTACGCATAGGATTACACTTACTACCACTCTTTCTGAAGTGCTAGGGGTTAGGACTTCAATCTATGAATTTGAGGGTGGGGGAAGTGACATGGAATCCCATCCATAACACCCATATTAATCCAGGAACTCATAGAATTGAAGTTTCCTCTATGATTTGTACTGAGAGAGTGCATGCATGGTTTTGCTCAGTATTTCAGATGATCAGATGAGTATAATTTTGTTCTAAGCCTGGTTTCCAAGGAGTTGACCCTTGGTTGGTATAGCTTAATTTTCAGTATTTACCTCAAAGTCATCTTTTGTCCCTTGTGCTTCTGCCCTATGTGGGTGGGTCTGTGTACAGTTTGGAGACTGGTATCACTTGTGCTCCATGCTTTGCTCTGATTACTTGTGTGTGGGTGCAGCCTAGCATATGTGCACAGTCTTCTTGATCCACACATTTGATTTAGCTTCTAGGAGGTTTTTAAAGACTTTCCCCTTCCCAGTTCTATCTCTTAATCTTCTGGCTGATCTATTTTGTTTGTACTTTTATAAATAATATGTACTTAGGATGTCCCTAAATTCATCTCAGCTCAAGGCTGTTGCACTGAGGTCAATTCAAGGAGGCAAACAAAAGTTTGAAATTTTCAGTAGGTCCTGGTAAAATAGAGTAAAATAGAGTACGTCAATTTCAGTGCCCTTTTCCCCAGACCCTTCAAAGCATTTTAAAGTAACAGCAACTTCTCAAATAAACTATCTGAAAAACAGCAAAGCACCATGTTATTCACATTGGAGTACTTACCCTTGATTTCACAGATCAGAAGTGTTGGCATCTCAAAGTCTGAGCATTTGCTACCAGTTTTCTATAGAAGACATAAATTTTCTAGACCCTATTCTTGGTCTATCTCATTGAATATCATCCATTGCATTTTAGCACCTAAGAAAACGAAAGGATATTATTTGAGAAACTGTGAAGTTTAGAGTATTTGCTTTCTTACTCTAGTGATACAACTTGGTGGGGACAAAGTCATATATTCAGAGCTCCAGAAGACCCAAGGCAGGAAAAGTCACAGTGGTATTTCTGTGGAGAAGGGTTGTTCAGTGACTACACTTTATGACTACAAAGATGATTGAAACTGTTCTTATTCCATGGAAATAAATTCTAATGTTATCTCTGGTTATAGAACAATGAATATGCCAGTAGCTACTGCTTATCACTGATCCATTAGCACCCTCAAATCTGATGACAAAATATAAAACTTTCCAAAACTATATTATAGCTGTGACTTTATGTTAGACCAAACTAGTGCTCAGAAAGGCTTGCCAAATTACTTGTAGACGTTAATGTAAAATTATTTCTGGTTTTAAGTCGGAGGATCACCTCATGATTTCATGTTCTCACTCCTCGGACTTGGAGGTGACACAATTAATTCAGCCCTTATGTGGAAGCCAAATTCTGTTGAAGAATGTCATATTTTCTCCCCTCTTCATATTAGACATTGCAATTTATATTCTGGAAATCTCTGAGTATCTTATCTGTTTTATATTTGGAGACCAAATAATTATTCTGATTGCATAGTTAATTTTTATGGCAACAAGAATAATACTGGTCATGTACTTGTTTTGGCCAACGTAATTCTTCTAATCAAATTCCAATTTACTTACCTATTAAAGGAACAAGAAATGTTTAGATCTTATTGAATGTATACATACACAGGCCCCATTTGAGTCTCAATATTTAATGTTTCTGTTGCCTTGAGAAAATGAGGCTTTTCATGCCCCCATTATTTTATTGCCAAATGTCAAATGACCAGCCACCTGCCATTTAGATAACTGAAATGTGTGCATTTTAGTTCTATGAACACCATTTTTATTAGAAATACTGTATCATTAAATGAAGGTTGCTTTTCAACAGAATACATAAATGTTTCTAGGCACTCTTCTAGGCACTGATGCCTGGTTGTCTGTGCTCTAGCAATGATCAGCAGAGTGAAGCCGAGAAAGCCAACTCACTGTTAGAAAGCCGTGGTGACAGCCAGATGTTTACTGTCCTCAAGACTCCATTGTTTTTTTTTTTTTTTTTTTTTTTCTGTTTTGTTTTCTTTAAAGATAACATCATAGATTGCATGTAAATGAAGGACCAGCTCTCAAAGTCCCACCTGGTCATTTATGCCAAAGTCATTATAGACATTTCATTCATGGGGCAGTCCAAACTTCACTACAGGGAAAGTCTATAATGGGCTTATGCTGTTGCTCCTTTGGCTGGCATCATAGGCAGGCAAGGGGACTTTGAGATTCTTCAGATTCTTGAGAGCAAGGAGTGGACTATAAGTTTAGTGGCCATTACTCAACCATGATGCTAGAATTCAAACTTATGAATTGCTGCCTCCCACATGGACTCTGACCTTGAACTTGTATCTGGCCTTGGCTAATGAAACATAAGCGAATATATTATGAGTAAAAGCTTGGTAATACATTTCACCACTTACACCTTGGAACTTTCTTTTTATGCTGATGGGATTTATTTATTTTTTTCTTTTTGAGACAGAATATCACTGTGTCATGCAGGCTGGAGCGCAGTGGCATGATCATGGCTCGTGGCAACCTCAACCTCCCAGGCTCAGGTGATCCTCCCACCTCAGCCTGCCCAGTAGGTGGGACTATAAAAACATGCCACTATGCCTGGCTAATTTTTGCATTTGTTGTAGAGACAATGCAAAATGGTTTGCCATATTGCTCAGTCTGGTCCGGAACTCTGGGATCATAGGATCTGTCCACCGTAGACTCCCAAAGTGCTGGGATTATAGCATGAGCCATTGTGCGAGACTGGATTTAAGTATTTTGAAAAGGAGCCCAAGGTGTCAAGATACCACAGGGAGGAACAGAGAAAGAAACAGAGAAAAGAGAGAGAGAGAGGGAGAGAGAGAAATATTCCAGGCTTTCAGCCATCCTCACTAAGAAACAGGCTTATGAGTGAGGCCATCCTGCATGTCCAGCACAAGCCACTATCTAACTGCATTTGCATAAAAGACACAAAGTGAGCCCAGTGAAAGAAACAATTTCCCAAAAATCATAAGAAATGAGAATAATAAAACTAATTTTATTTTTATCCACTAAAGTTTGGAGTGGTTTGTTACACAGAAACAGAGAACTGTAATGAGTGTTGCTCTTGAAACTTCAAGGTGCATTTAAAGTACCTGGGTATGTTGATGAACTTTAAAATATGACTCAGTGGTCTCAGGTCAGAGCCAGGGATTCTACATGTCCTATTAACTCCCACTGGAAGTCAGCGATAGTGCTCTGCAGCCCACACTTTGAGTCACACAGTTCTGCAGAAGCAACACTTTATTTTCCCTGATTTTTCCTCAGACCACTTCTAAGAATCTCTTTGTATTTAAACTTAAATAAATTCTCCTGTTTAAGATTCTCTTTACCAAGGCAATGAGCATGGCAGATATGCCATTCCAGTAACATGTGTGGGAAAATATGCTATTGAGTCTGTGCATTTATGTAACCAATATTTCAGGGCCTGAAGGAATTTACTTTGGGGATATCCTTCCCTTGGATGGCTTTTTTTTCTTTCTTTTTTTGATGGGGTCTTGTTCTGTCACCCAGGCTGGAGTGCAGTGGCGCAATCCCAGCTCACTGCAACCTCTGCCTCCCGAGTTCAAGCCATTCTCCTGCATCAGCCTCTTGTGTAGCTGGGATTACAGGTGCGCACCATCACACCTGACTAATTTTTGTATTTTTAGTAGAGACGTGGCTTCACTATGTTGACCAGGCTGGTCGCAACCTCTTTACCTCAAGTGATCCACCCACCTTGGCCTCCCAAAATGCTGGAATTACAGGTGTGATCCACCATGCTTGGCCTACCTTGAATGTTCAAATATAATGGTTACATCTCCAATAGTTAATCATCTAGGAATATCCTCAGAAAAGGTACATCTCTCTTGTGTTATTTCTTACAATCTTTTCTGCCATTTAATTCTGCTATGTGATTGGCTCCAATAAATTTGGAATCATTTTATGCTACTTCACTCTACACTGGGCAGTGCTTCTGCTGATTTTCTTTCCTACACATTCTGTTATGTCTGCAAGGAAACTCTTATTGAAGTTTTGGACGAACAGAATTCAGGGTACACTGTAATACAATCAACAACTTAAAACTGAAGGGTACACATTTGACTCACAGTTTTTTTGGTTTGTTTGTTTTGTTGGCCCTTGCCTGCTTTAAGCCCTCAGTTACCGTCATCTTCATTCTTCATTCTTCTTTCCTGCATAAGATGTTCATTAGTCTCTATCCCAACATTTCTTTTACTTTTTTCAGAAGATTAATTTTTCTTTACACCATTTGTAGAAATCTGGATCTTGGTCTAAATGTATTGATTCTAAACTTATGACAGCGTTCTGCCGAATTTGCTGTGGCTCAGCATTTAAAACGGTCCTGCATATAATTATAATAAAGCTGTGCCAATAGAATGCTGCCTTGAAAGGGTTCACTTTGTTAAAACTACTGAAAATGTGCATTTTAAGGAATACTGAGCGGATTAATTGCAGGGTTTAAGGTGGGAAAAATAGTCAGAGGAAAATATGCCTTCCTCTTCTATTTTGTTTCTAGACTCTGAATATCTTCCCAGTCTATGGCTTTTTCCTATGTCCAGAATTTCTGTCTCCCTTACAATAATTGATCACCTGAAAATATATGCATTCATTTCTCCCTTATTTTTCCAACTCATTGTGATAATATTAAGGAGGAGTTTAATAAATTATTACAGAAGGCCGGAATCATTGTATTCTAACTATTGCCTAGTATTGAGCTTCATTTTTATTCCCAATAACCAAATCAAAAATTTTAACTTGGTTTTGTTGACAGATTCTGCTACCTGCAGCAGAGTAACTGCTACATTAAAGGATGCTTTTGACACTTCTCCTTCCAGGTCACAGCTTGCAAAGTCTCTTCTTGCTAATATGGTTGCTATTGTCATAACTGTTATCAATCAACCTAAACCCTATACTTTTAGTGTGCCTGTAAAATCTAAGTACTTGTAAAACTATTCTAAGCATAATTTTTTACTCATTTTCATTTATTATTCCAATAAAACTCTGATTTATATTGTTATTATTCCCACTTTATGAAAGAAGAGACAGAGACACGAAGACTGGAAGTAATATTTTCAGGTTAACATTGTCCAAAGTTTGGAAATATATCAGTGTGTGTGCCTAAACACATATAAACTTATACAGATATACATATGCAAATAGATATGGATTATACATATGCACATATATAATATATACATTATATAAATACTCCATGTGTTTTTGAAAATCTATATATCTAGATCTTATTCAGAGTGTATAACAATTTAACTAGAAGCTTGGCTAAAAGGTACATTGCTCAAATATATAAAAAATTAAATATTTAGGTATACTTATAATGTAATTTCTATCCACATTAACACATTTAAAATGATTCAAGGAACTGCAATTCTGCACAGTCACATATAATCATCATGTATAATCTTCATAAGAGGGGCTATGAAATGGTAAAAGTATGAACCCATGGCTTGTAAAGGCAGCCCATTTGTTTCAAATAAATTTTTTATGAAATTACTCTGAGTACAAAATTGGGGTTCTTTGACATTACCTGAGGGTATATTTTTCCACCACAATTTCAGAGTTTAAATTATTTATTCTGTCATTAAAGCCAAGGCAGAAAAATAAATGGAAATTGTCATAAAAGACAGAAATTTTTATATTGGAAATGAGTAGAACTCATTCATAAAAAATACTCACATAAAAAGAAATCGTTCCAGGATGAAACATCATGCATCATGCAAAACCATTCTGGCAAAACAGCTGATACGTGGCATCATGACTATATGTCTCCATTTTCCCAGAATAGCCTTAGTTTCTAGTTCCTCTCCTTGTATTATTTTTAGAAGCATCCCTTTTCTTTCCTAGAAATGTCCAGGATTAGATGATAAAAGCCATTCTGCAAATATTGAACAGTTTACATCAACTTGAATCAAGTTTATAAATACAAAAAATATAAATAGAAAATGACTATCTTAGTTTTTTATTGAATGATAAAATAATAATATGGGGCTCAGATAAGGAAATTATTAGAATCAGGATCAGGCAAAAAATAATAATCCTGAACTAAGAAAAAACCTAGTAGCCTTTAAATATGTCTTTTTGGGAGGGTTGAATTATTGAAACCTATGTTGATTTTCCTGTACTAAGCATACTCTTTAATTTATTTAATTATTCTAACAGTTCTCTGATTTAGGTTATATTATTATTTCAATTTTATGGAAGAGAAAATTAAGACACAAATATCTTAAGTAATTCGGCTTACATAGTCCAAATTTTTGAAATATATATGCGTGTGGCTATACATACACACATATACACATTTACATATAAACAGATATCTGTTACACGTATGCACACATATAATACATATTATAGACATATTATAACATAGACATGTGTGATACATGTCTATGATTATACATAAATGCATATATATGTGTATATGTGTGTATTTATTGTGTATGTATATATATTATATGTTTGTACACATATGCATTTAGAGATGTTCAGTTTAAGGGAGGAAAGCCAGGCATTTGAAGTTGGATAGATATGAGCCTTCGATTCTGCCTTAGCTCTCTGTTCTTCAACAAAGTTTGTATTTTGCTTAATCTTCAGCATTTAGTACCATTTAAAACATAGTAACCTGACATATACCTGGTACATGATAACCATTCAACAAATTTCACCTGATACTTTATGTAATTTTCAAAGTGATACAAGGTCAATAAATAACATCCATTCAATGACACTGACTTAATGATATTAAAAATCACATGATTTTGAAAATGTTCTGTAATAATAATCTTTAATATCTCATTGAGAACTACATACACTGTCTTATTCGTAGACACTATTTAGCCATGGGCAATCGTGTGAAAAAGTAAGCTTCACTGACAAGGAAGACTGAAGGTAGAAGGAGAAGGGACAAGATATACTACCAAGAGTGAAGTGGCAAAAATAAGACATTCAAAGTGAACTGTGAAAGCCTCAAATAAACAAACCTGGTAGTGTTAATTTGGCAATTGGGTTTCATGTCTTGATTTCCCAAAGACCATTCAGTTAATTACAATCTTACATAATTATATATGAACTTTAAAACCATTACTGCCTTCTTATTTTTGCCTTAGTCTGTTTACAAAGGTGTGTTCAAGACACTGATTGGTCAAATTTTACATCAGGGTTTAATACACAAATGCTTCAGCTATTGCATGTCAAAACAAACCTTTAAAGTTCTCAGACACTTGGAAAGTTCATTATTCCTTCAGAAACAATTCTTTCAGAGATATACATGTATTTCCTTTAAATATAGTTAAATTTTCATATATAACTATTTATCTTACCAGTGTTGGATTCCATGTATTCTAGTCTATTATCCTTCAACACAATTCACTTCTGTGTTTAAATCTAACAAGATATTTTTAAAATGTTAAACCTGAGTTTACATTTGTATGTTAAAATGATCTCTTTAATATTTTATATTACAGTACCTAAAGTCCTAAAAATATAAAGGTATTTGCTGAAATGTTTATTTCAAAACAATGAGAATAAACACATGACTAAAACAATCAGAAATAAATGAAAAAAATGATACAACTGACATCTCTGTATACTAATGTACATACTCTGAAGTGCTTTATCATTCTAGTCATCAGAGAACAATTATATATTTTAAAATAGATATATAAATCAAATTGTGCAAATTATGTTTTTATCAGTAAAAAGAAAATTAAATTTATTGTTATTAGAATTTACTTAGATTTTCTGAGATCAGACTATATATGGGGAAAAATCTAATAATGTAGTTATTTTCTTTATCACATTATTTTCCTTCAGTTAGAAAAAGCAGATAACATTTAATTAAAGAGATGTTCCCACATCCTCCTTTTAAAATAATCTAAATAACATATGATCTGTGAGGCTATGTTTATGGTAGGTTTTGATCTGATTGCATTTTGTGACCCAAAATATAAAAATTAAATGTGTACTAACAGACATGTAGAACAATGAAATAAACTAATTTTACTGGTTTAATCAATGAATCAATTGAGATAATTAAAATAGGAAAGGTTAACACATTATAAATGCATTTTGTGACTTTTCGTAAAATAAGTCTTTCTTAGCCAACTATAGCATTCACCCAGGAATATACAGAAATTCGCAACGTGTTTTCTCACAATAAAATCATTTGTGTAATAATCTCCACATCCAGATGCAGACATTCTCAGTACCTTAAGAAGCCATCATAACTAAGCCTAAACTTTCCAAATGGTAATCACTCTCCTGCCTCCTAAAGGTATACCGTAGTTTTGTTTAATTTTGATTTTATAATACTATTTTGTATCTAGCTTTTGTTTTTTTACTTTCAGTATGATATTTGAAGACTCCCGCCTGTGTTTTAAGTTTCATTTTTTTGTGTGTGTAGTACTCAATTGAAACAATTTACCTTAAAATATTTACTTATATTAATGGTTGTTTGTAGTTAGGAATTTTAATTTATGATGGTACTATATAAACTTGTATTTGGTACAAATGTGTACTCACTTCTTTTACTCAGATTCTAAACATAAGACAGATATATAAATTTCTGGTTAGCAGCGTGTGCCTATGTTTAACTTCACTGCATATGCCAAATTATTCTCTTATGTGTCTGCACCAATTTTACTCTCAACAGTGGTTTATGAAATACCCAGTTGTTCCAAATCCTCATCAAAACTTGATTTTTGTGACTATTTCTCTAAGTCAACTAACTGAGGTGTAATTTACTTAAAACAAAATGTATACATTTAAAGTATACCATTCAAAAAATTTTGTCAAATATATGTACCCAATTAGCCATTGGCCCAGTTAATATTTATAATGTCTCCATCACCCATCAAATTCCCTCATGAGCTCTGCAATCATTTCCATTCCCCATCCAAGTAACCAATAATTAGATTTCTAAAATCACTGATTGTGTGTGCCTGATATAAAATTTCATATGGATGAATTATACAGTATGTATTCCTTTATGTCTGCCTTATTTTGCTTAGCAGTGTTAATCTGCGTATGTAAAACATTCCTATTTACTGATGAGTAAGATCCCATTTTATAGACATACCACAATTTATCTATTCACCTATAAACACAAATTTGAGTTATTTTGAGTCCTAGACTATTATTTACAAGGAAAAAGATTCTATAAACAGTTGTGTATAAATATTTACATGTACATATGGTTTCATTTGGGGGAATATAGATGAGAGCATAATTAATTCCTGAGTTGTGTGGTAAATGCAAGTTTATTCAATAAACTGCCAAGCTCTTTTACAAAGTGTTTGTATTTTTTGCACTTTCAGCAGGAATATGTGAATTTCAGTTGCAGGAACTCCTTATCACCATGTGATAGAATCAGATTTCAAGTTTTAGCTACCTAGTGGATGTGAAAAGGTATTTCTTTGTGATTTTAACTTGCACTTCACTGAAGATAATGAGTATATTCCAAATGCATATTACTAAGTCATATCTCCTTTTATAAAATTTATGTTTCAACATTTTGCCCATTTTTAAATATATGTATTTTCTGGATACAAGTCTTTTGTCAGAAATTAGAATTAATTCTTTTTTGTAGTCTTTGGTTTGCATTTTTCTTTTCTTAATGTTTTATGTTGAGAAGTAGAATTTACAATTTTCATACAATCCAATTCATTAGGATTTCTTTGTTCATCCTTAACGCTTTTTTGTTACAAGTAAATTTTTTACCATTTTAATGTCATGAAAATTCAGCCCTGCATTTTCTGTAAGTTCTTGTATTTAATTTTAATTTTAGGTGTTTAGTTTGTGTCAGAAGGATAGGTTCATTTTGTATATATAAATATATATACCAAAGACTTGTTTTATCAGCAATTTGTTGGAAACACTTTTCCATTGAATTGTATTGGTTCATATATAAATTTGAGGACAAATTATGTAATAAGGAATCTTCCTACCATTAATATTCCATATTTTGTATTTATTTAAATATTTTAAAAATTTCTCTCCACGGTATTTTTTGAGTCTCTTTGTAATAATTTGTTATGAAATTACGTGTCAATATGCTGTGGCTTTCATTTTTAAAATATATGTGTAAGTTCATAATGAATTTAGAACTCTTTCTTCCTTTATGAATCACTGAAAATACTTATGAAAGATGGGCATTATTACCTTCTCAAATGTTTTGTAGAGTTCACCAGGGAGGCTTTATGGGCCTGGAATATATTTTGAAATAAAGGCTTAATAAAACTTCATTAATAGATAGAGAGCTAGTCAAATTTTTCATTTCTTCTATACTCAGTTTTGGCAAGTCGTGATTTTAGGACATTTGTCCACTTTCTTATGTTACCAACTTTTGTTTCACCACAAAGTTGTTTATAATATTTTCTCATTATCCTATTAATATTGGAATTATCTGCAGTGATGCTCCATTTTTCATTCCTGATATCAGTAGATTTTGCTCTCCTCTGTCTCTCTCTTTCTCTGTCACTCTCTTTCTTCCTCTCTCTCTCTCTTTCACTGATATAAACCTAAATAATTGGACAAGTACTTCCTTTATTCCAATGTATTCCAACCAGTTAACATAAAAGAATCCTGCATTTTCACTCATTCTCTTATTTCCTCCTCTATCATTTTATAAAGAGTTCCACTGCTCAACCATTAATCCTTCATCTATGCTTTCTTCTCGAGAATATTAAGCCTTTAATTACATCATGACTTCTGTAGGCTCACAAAATTCTTTGTCATTCAGATCTTTTGCAACACTTAAATACACTCAACACACTTCAATCTCAAAGCATCAGCTCCTCACAGATACCTCTCTTTTCTTTACTCCCACGTACCATTACTGCTGTCATCCTATAACTCTTTTACCCTGAACAATCAAACTTCTTACATTTATATTGAGCTGAGAAAAATATATTAATGGAATACAAATAGCCAAATGTCACAAAGGAAATGAAAATGTTTATGTTTAAACACGTTTTTACTAGGAATCAATATTATTGACAGAAATGGAGCCATACTGGCTTGGTTTTAAAAATGTATTAGTCCTATATTCAGAATAGAAGCAATTAAAAAAATTAAAAACACTACATAGATAAAATAAGATGCATTTTTCTAATATAATTTTCTAGTTTATGGAAGCCAACTTAGATCTATGACAAAAGGAAAATCTGATGTACTTGTTCCTAAATGATATCAAATACAGAACAAAGAATTGGATGGTATAACTAGTGTCAATATATCTGGAGGGATAATTAGGGTCTATGAAGTTCCAATAAAGGAGTCAAAAAGAAAATTGGTTAAAGCAATTTAAAATTATTACCCCCCAAAGAGAACACTTAAAAGCTTTTAGAAAGAGCCAAGTGCAGTGGCTCACACTTGTAATCCCAGCACTTTGGGAGGTTGAGGCAGGTGGATTGCTTGAGGCCAGGAGTTTGAGACCAGCCTAGCCATTGTGGCAAAACGTCGTTTCTATAAAAACAAAACAAAACAAAAAAACTTTTAGAAAGACTTGAGAGAATGAAATGAGGATCAGCGTTGAGTATGTTAGATATCATGACAGCATTGTGATTGAGTTAGAAACAAATACAAAATAAACACAAAGGAATTGTGGGCCCCAAACAGGGTTTTCATATATCCTGAGGGAGAATTTAAATTAACATATGGGGTAACATGTGGGAGGAAAAGAAATGGAGGATGTGCCATTGTCAAGTTTTGGGCTAAATGTTGAGCATGCATCCTGGACAGAAAGACGCTGGAAATGGTATCGAAAAGTGGATCGTTTTTAGTAGACTCCCTAGTATATCTCACCATGGCAGTATAAGGCAAGTAGCTTGATATACCTGGAAAAAGATGTTAGAATAATAAAGAATGTAAGGGAATTTTCCTTGGAAATGTGCTGATAAATGTGTGACGTGCTGACACAACAAGTGGAAGATGCGTCATTAGATAGACCTGCACTCAATTCAGCTCTGAAATGACAGAAGCTAAGCTTTCAAGTGATTAACAGAAATCAGGAAATTTCATCAGACATTCTCCCAGGGAAGAAAAGAGACTGAAGTAATGCCTGAACACTGGCACACTCACCGTGCATCGAAATCATTTGGGTATGGGCATGTCTTCAATGTCACTTGAAGAAAGAGAATTATTCATATAGTGGGAGATTACTCTTAGCTTCATTTATTTTGCCAGTTTGTAGATTCTTGGCTAATACTGCTGAAGCGAATAACAAGCAGACTTTTTTTTTTTTTTCCTTTTTACCTGTATTTTTCTTGGTTTGCTCACATTCCTCTAAACATAAATAAGTTGTTTTAATACACATGATAATTTAGGAACGGAAATCTATATTGAAATCTTTACTGGGTTCTAGAAACATCATTTTCATTCAGTCAGTTCAGAGACTGATGTTTTGCTGGTGGTTTTAAAAATTTTGCTTAAATGGGTTAAATGCCATGGTAATCTTATGTATTCTAATGAAAAATGTTTCTTAAAAATAATAGGTATGTGCAGACTGCAGAGTGAACTAATTTAGCTTGAGAAGTGCTAAAAGAATTTTACAGCTGTCTGTAGGAGAAAATGAAGATATAGCTAATTAAATCGCATGGCTCCACCCACATTATATGAAAGTTTGTGGCTGAGGTTGAAGAAAAGCCGAAGTTAGGAGGGTGGAATACTGGACTTTAATGATTTTAATTATTATTATCAACTTTAATTGTTTCCTAGTAATCTGACAAGACGCTCATTTGATAATATAATTTGCATACTTAATATTGCCATTTGAATTGATTGTATAAAATCTACTTTAAAAAATTGCATAATATCACCAAAGTTTAAGAAATAGAGTAGACATAGAATTGTTGGCCTAGGCTAAAAAGTGGCCTTAACATTTCTTTAATGATTATCCTATTTTCAGTCATTTATTGTCTTTAAGTAAGACATGTTTTACAGTCCTAGGAAGAGGTAGTGGTTGCTATTGGACTCCCAACCTCAGGAGAGCAGCACAAGTCTATTCTGGTAAAGCTTTGGTCTCTTCCTCATGAGGCAAACACACACATTGGTCATGACAGCCTTAGTTATTCATCTAAATACGTTTTGAATAAAAATTTATGGAGAAACATTATCTCATTGCTCCTAATATTTTAAGGATGAAAGAGCACAATCATAATGCATTATGAAAACTCCACCCTAACTCTGCATTACATTTTTCTCAAAAGAAAGACTGTGATTAATTCTATTGATACAATTATATGAAGTCTGGAAATCATTTGGCCGCAGTGTGTATAGAAAAAGAGAATTTACATTTCAACCTCTCATGTTTTGAATCTATGTATCTTTTGGGTTTTTGGACCAGCTAAGCATATCTTCATTTATCTCCATTCTGTTGCAAATGTTTTTTACGATGTTTTACATGGCTGCCCCCATGAGCTTGGAATAATTATTGATAGTTATTCATACACATATTTCCAATGGCAGTTATAGTGATACAATACATAGTTCATGAATAAACGAAGGAAGATAGGAAGAAAGGATGCATGAGTAATATGTGATTCTCATAAGAATATTAGGAAATGAACAACATTATTTCCCCTTTTTCCTAAAATATACAAAAAGATTTTGCAATTGGCCTGTGACTGAACACAGTGATGATGAAACTGACAAGATCTTAGATATTCTGATCGTTAATATGGCATCAATCCAATTATACATGTTACTTTACTTTTCATAAATTTCCTGTCATAGTTTCATAAATTATTTTTTATAAATTATAGTGCAAAACTGATATTTCTTTAGTGATTGAGAATCTTCTCAACACACTTTTGACACATTATAAAGTACCCAGTCTTAATCATGTCTTGCCTTCAGATCTTTTTTATTTTTTTGCAAAAATACCAATATAAGCTAAAGCCATAACTAATAGGATAGTAACATAACTTAAAATATGATGCAAAACATGCACTCTCCTCTTTATCTCTAGAGATTGCTGCATAAACAAATTCTGCAACATTTATTATTTTTCATTTTTTATAATAAATGACGTTTGACAATAAAGCAGTTTTAACTAGATTTACACATTTCAAATTGAACTAGTTTTAATTTCAGATCTAAAAAAGGTTTCAAACTGACATCATTTACAAGAATTACTGGGTTAATATTCTCAGAGATTTAATAGTAATGGATTATTACCTAGCTATGATTTATCATAATGAGGAAAAATAGATTAATTCATTTGGTTTCTAAAAAGACTCAATATTATGATTAAAAGCAGTGACCTCATTTCTTATTAGTTTGCTTTGCCTGGGAGGAATTCCTCACTTTATACATTTGAGCTAGAAATGCAGTAGCTGCTGCAGCATTTTCTGAGGGTCACAATGGTCACTGTGCCAGAGGCTATGTCCAGTGTCTGTTGATAACTGTGTGTGGGATGTTGGCTAGATCACCTTCTCTCTGTATGATTCTGTGTAATGATTAGAGCAGAAGACGGGGCTTCTTAGCCTCTCTGGATAAACGCGTATTTATCAGAGTGGTTCTCCAGCCATTTCAGTTATTCAATGAGCTTGTATCTTTTATCACGAAATCCCTTTCCTGTTTAACTCAAGCAGAGCTGGGTTTTGGAACAGTGCATTATTTCCTAGGGCTGCCACCACAAATTGTTACACACTAGGTAGCTTAATATGGCAAATATATTATCTCAGAGTTCTGAAAACCATAGGCCCGCAAATCAAAGTTTTGGTGGGGCTATGCTCCCTCTGAAGGCTCTAGGGGAGGATTCTTCCTACCTCTTCCAGCTCCCGGTGGCTCCAGGAACTCCTTCACTTTCCTGGCTACATCCCTCGAAACTCTGTAGTCACACTGCCTCCTCCTCTTCATTGTCTGTGTCTTTCTTCCCTTGTAAGAAGAGTTGTAATTGGGTTGAGGGTTCACTCAAATAATACAAATTATCTCATTTTAAGATCCTTAATTGCATTTACAAAGACTATTTTCTCATAGAAATTCACACTCACAGTTTTCCAAGGGCCAGGATGTGGACATATATTTTTGGGGGACCACCCTTTGACTCACTCCAGAAGTGTCCATGAATTGACATCTTAGAGAATCCTTACTCATTTTATTTAAACTAGTTTGTGTTGTCATTGAAAAGTTGTATCTTGTTTCTGAGCTAACACACCCTCTAGTCCACCTTTTCACAGTCTAAATTCAGGAATAAAAGCTAATAAATATTAAGAAAACACCCTTCTTCAAAATAGCTGACTCCCTCAGCCTATCATCTGTCAGTCTACTTTAACCACTGCCGGATAGACATGAGTAGGCTCATGACACGTAGGGGGTTTTACAAGAACATTAACTACCTTGTACTAGAAATGGGCTCATCAGTTGTCACCTGTGTGGCAGTTCAGACAGGTGCAAGTATTTCCTTTGAGTTATGATCTTGTAAAAATGAGACTTTATAATTGAAAAGCTGGTCACTGTGACATGCAATTCTGAAAGACTGTTTAGCATTTTTGGAGACAACATAGTTTGTAAATAAGGGGCATTTATTATTATAGACAGCCTCGGGGTACACATTCATTATCCACTGACAAGTACAGATACAAATGCAAAGACTTGATTCATTAGCATGTAGGTAACATGTTATGTTATATTTAAAATTAGAGTAAATGGAAATATATTCTGTAAAGATGTAACGATTTAATTAATTCAATTACTTTTTAACTTAGAATATGATTTTAGATAGAAAAAGTCTGCAAACGTGTAACTTGCTTTCAGTAGTCAAAGTTTTTAAATTGTTTGGCTTACTTCAAAAGAGAGGTAAGTATGTCAATCAGCACTGATTTAGATTGATGTATTTATAGCTTAATAAATGTTCATACTTTGTTAAAATAAATTTCTAACGTGAAAAATCCTATATGGTATAGTAAACCCAAATTTTGTTGGAGTAGATTTTTTTTCTCTAGCTAATTTAATGTCACATTGTTTGACATTACAAAAAAGTTCCTGAATGATTTGTGTCTTTTAATGAAACTATTCACATCATCACTTTTCTATTCAGTTTTCATACACTCAATATTTATTTTCAACTAATGTAAAAATTTGAAATCATTTATGAATACAAAAATATTACATATCATTATAATTATAGCTTTACATATATGTTTTTTCAATCAGTCAATCAATCAGTAAGTACTTTTTCATAGCTAAATTAGAGAGTAGTGTCCTTCAAAGTGCTGTGAAAACTGAACAGAATTAAAAAGAAAATATCCCTGCCCTCAAGTAGCTTACACTCTGGAATGGAGAGACATATGCTAAACCCAAACCTTTAAAATATATGTTACATAGCTATAAGTACTAGGATGAAATGGAAAAAGGCAACAGAAAGGACAGTAGGTATGGAGGGTAATTTTAAATTTAAATAACCCAGACTGCACTGGCATAACTGAGAAGGTTCTTTGGAGCAAAGACTTGAGAGAAGTGAAATATTCATTACATATGGGTATCTGGGGAAGGCTGCTCCAGGCAGGGGAACTTGCAGTGCAAAGATCCTGAAAAAAACAGTACTGCTTAGAAGTCAGTGGAAAGAAATGAGGGGACAACAATGGCTGGAATTAGATGAGGGAATGATAGGAGAGGTAAGATGACAGTAGAAAGGGGAAGGACAGGGATTACTACAAAAATAGGGACTTCACTCTCAGTAGACTGGAAGGTCACTACATGTTCTGAACTGAGAGACCCAGGGTATATTTTATAGAATTATTCAAGCTGCATAGGCAGTGGATGAGGTTAAGGGTGGTGGAGTTAAAACAGAAAGACAGTGACATATTTCAATTTCTCAAGTGAGAAATAGTGGCAACATTGAATGGGGTAGTGTCGGTTGGCTGATTAGAAGTGGTTGAATTTCTGAACATATTTTGAAAGTATTATGTTGCCAAGAAATTTAAATGGAAGACAGATTGTGAAGTTTGAAGAGAAAAAAAATGAGGCCAAAGTGACTCATATAGTTGAGCTAAGCAACTGAAAGGCTGTTACTATTTATCAATAATGGAAAGCCTGTAGAAGAGACAAGTGCAAGGAATAAGGTTATGTGTTCACTATAGAAATAAAAGGGTGTGTATATATCCTTTGCACCTGCCTTAACAGCACCTATATCTCTTTTTTTCATTATTTTATTTTAAGTTCTGGAATACATGTGCAGGATGTGCAGGTTTGTCACATAGGTAACGTGTGCCATGGTGGTTTGCTGCACCTATCAATCCATCACCTAGGTATTACGCCCGGCATGCATTGGCTATTTATCCTGATGCTCTCCCTCCCCCTGCACCCACAACAGGCCCTGGTGCATGTTTTTCCCCTCCCAGTGTTCATGTGTTCCCATTGTTCAGCTCCTACTTACAAGTGAGAACATGTGGTGTTTGGTTGTCTGTTTCTGTGTTAGTTTGCTGAAGATAATGGTTTCCAGCTCCATCCATGTCCGTGCAAAGGAGATGATCTCATTTCTTTTTATGGCTGAAGAGTATTGCATGGTGTATATGTGCCACATTTTCTTTATCTAGTCTATCATTGATGGGCATTTGGGTTGATTCCATGTCTTTGCTATTGTGAAGAGTGCAGCAATAAACATATGTATACATGTATCTTTGTAATAGAATGATTTATATTATTTTGGGTATATATCCAGTAATGGAACTGCTGGGTTAAATGGTATTTCTGCTTCTAGATCCTTGAGGAATCACCACACTGTCTTCCACAATGGTTGAACTAATTTACACTCCCACCAACAGTGTAAAAGTGTTCCTGTATCTCCACAGCCTCGCCAACATCTGTTGTTTCTTGACTTTTAATAATTGCCCTTCTGGCTGGTATAAGATGGTATCTCATTGTGGTTTTGATTTGCATTTCTCTAATGAGCAGTGATGTTGAGCTTTTTTTCATATGTTTGTTGGTTGCATAAATGCCTTCTTTTGAGAAGTGTCTTTTCGTGTCCTTTGCCTGATTTTTGATGGGGTTGTTTGGTTTATTTTTGGAATTTGTTTAAGTTCCTAGTAGATTCTGGATATTAGACCTTTGTCAGATGGATAGATTGCAAAAATTTTCTCCCATTCTATAGGTTTTCTGTTCACTCTGATGATAGATTCTTTTGCTGAACAGCGCCTGTATCTCTACTTCTACATCTGTGTATATGTGCTCCCATATATTTGCATCTGTATCTTCAACTCTTAGAACAATATCTGGAATTGGTAGGTAACCAGTAAATATTTGTTGAATAAATGTTGAGTACATACACAAAACATGCAATTTGGTTGATATTACAGGTAGTGTGAAACAACATAAAATCCAAATTTAAAATTAGATGTAAAATATGTCCTATATTTTTTCAGAAACATAATTTTAGTGGTTGTTAATATATTTGTACAAATATTCTAAGTAATTATCAAAGCATTTAATTGGTATTTACTGAGATAGGATATCTGCATCCCAGTTCATTTTTCTTGCTAAGTGAATGAAATAAATACAATTATTTAATCTTTTCAAGATACAACTTTCTTATTCCTGAAATATGATACTGTTACATTTTTTCTGAGATTAGAATGTGTATATAATAAACATCTGAACACAGCAGGCAACAAATGAATTACAGGTGTTATTAAAATGTATATCATTTGAAGTATGTTAAAATTTCATGAATTCAATAAAACTTGTGGAATTGCTGGGTCAGTAACACAGGTATTAATCTGGGGAAAAACAAATATAAAATATAGTAGAAAAATATATATCGTAGAAAAATGCATATTGAAAATATAGTCAAATGTAGTATATGTATATAGTATATATATAACATAGTATATAATGTGTGTATATAGAGAGTGTTTTATGTATATATATTACAGTATATATAATGTATATATATAACAGTATATATATAGTATATGAAAATAGTATGTGTATATAGTAGAAAAATGTATGTTGAATTGAAAATACTTGATCTTAACTAGTTACAAAAATGCTAAAAACAATGAAATTGTGGGACGAACAAATCACATGCTATTACAGACCGTTTTCCAAACTTCAATTACAAGACATTGAAACCTACCTCAAATTTGTTCCTGTTTGTAGGGGCTATGAATCATAGATGAATAAAAATTGTATAGAAACAATATGCCAACTATTTAGCAATTAAATAGAATATGTCTCACTTATCCTAAAATGTAAAGATGAAAATACTTTGTATTAGATTATTCCATATATGATCTGATTAAATCATTCTAACAACACTTCTTTACTGTAGTTGGTCTGAACTTGTTTAATTTTGTATTAAAGCAAATGCTGCAGAATAAAATTTAAATGCGGGCCTTGAAAGCAGTTTCTGTGCGTAGACATTTAACTTAATTATTTTTGTAATAATTTTTAACTTTAAATTATTTTTAAAGCTTCACTATAACCTGTTCAGGCAATCATCTCTAATGGAATGACACCAATATTAAAAGGTCAATACTTTTAATACATTAAATTACAGTTACCAGACACTCAAAACACTCATCACTATGCATATCTCTATTTATCTCTCTCTCTATATATATTTTTCCTGACTACTTAGTATACTTGACCATTTGTGAATCATATATCTTTGTTAAATATAATATAGGTACTTGAATTTATTTTAAACATAATTAGAGAGTGATGTCAGCAACATGACTGACAAGAGGTGCCTGGCTCTTTTCTTTCCACCAAAGAACAAATAAATTTTAAAAACCACTATTGAATAAACAACTACATTTCAACTAGATTGTCTGAAGGAGAGTCCTAGAGGATGAGGGAGTGTTGACCCTCTAAGGAAAGAAAACCCAGGATGGTGGCACGGAGAGAAGTGGAGAGCACCCTGCCTCTGCCACTTTAC